GAAAAAAAAATATGCTGCTTTGTCTGAAATTTTGTAATAAATATATAAGCATAGAAGGATGCAAAATTTATAAAGCTGAGAACAATAATAGCTGTACACATTTTTTGCTTACTCGGTTTCCGTTCCCAAAAACGATTAAGAGAAAGAGTTCTTTGCAAAGAAAAAAAACCTAGCAAAATTATGTTTTCGCTTTTTTACTATTTTTTCTAATCCCATCATCAGCAACGCTTCAATAAGCAGCAGCAGCAGCAGTGGTGGTGGCAGCAGTCTTAGCGGCATAAAATGCAGCAAAATATTCATTTTTTCATCAATTTTCCTCTGTTGGACTACTTTTCACCACCCCAAAACTCCGGTATTATGCAGAGTTGTTCTTATTATTATTATTATTATTGTGGTTGTCGTTTATTATTTTGCCGTTATTATTACCAATCTTATTTAAGTTATAAATAATAATCAACGCAAAAAAAAGAAACCCTTCTTCAATTCACAAAATTTTGTTAAAGCAAAAGAAAAAAAAATGAAAAAAAAAATAAAAAAATTCAAAGGAAACAGATTTGAAGTAAACTGAAACATTTTTGTTAATCGCTCCTATTTTGGTATCTTAAGAACTCTCTTCCAACGCACTGCTTTATACACCTGAAATTTTATGCATGTAAATTATGATAAATTTAGACGTACCTTTGATAATCTTTAAACTGTCTTCCGACTAATCTCTAAAAATAACTCACAAAAAAAAGCGAAAGGTGTTATATATAAAAAAATAAAATTTTTTTGTTCTGATACTTATAGAATTGCTTTTTAATTATTTCCTTCTTTTGGGGAGGAGGTTTTTTAAATTTAGCTTGTTACGTTTGAAAATATTGGTAAATATATTCTATTAATACGCTTCAATAAATCGTCACTTAAACAAACCACTCATCAAACAATTAGTTATTTCGTTTTTTTTCATGCATACATTTTGGGTATCAATTACGACGTCTGTGTAACAGCCGAACACGATTTTACAGATTTGTGGGTTATTTTTTTCCACATTTCAACATTTTTCCACATCTTGTAGAGGTGGAAAAATTGAATAGATGTTTTTGTTTTTTTTTTTTCTGTTGTTTTAAAAATGTTTAATTTAAAAAAAAACATAAGAAACAGAAGACGGTAAAATGAAACATATTATATTTGAAAAAAACAAAAAATTTACAACCAAGCAAAGGTTGTTGAAGATTACACGAAAATTTTTGATATTTGTTAAGTAGAAAAACCAAAAAGTTACGAGAGCAGTAGCAGTCAGCAATATCAACTGAACAACAAGGCAATTTTACTTGTATTTCTTGCAATGTCAACAATCACTTTTAGATAGCATAAAATTTAGACTTTTATACTTGAAAAGCTCATGTCTAGTCGTCTAATCAAAAAACTTGTTAGCTGTATAATTGAGGAAGGAGAAAACAAAGTCAAAAAAACACTCAAAAAAACATTTGTAAATGCATTACAACTTTTTTAATTTGACGTTAAAAGACAATTTTAATTGCTTGAACATTTTTTTTTTGCTCTAAAGTTAATTTCAAGTTTCTTTTGAATGGTACTCTTAAGTTTATTGGATATCTGAAGTGTAAATTGTTGATTTTTTTTTTTTTTTTGCATTAAAGTTTTTGGTATTTGATGCAGAATTCACAACAACAACAACATTCTATTTATATAGCGATGTATTCAAACATTATAATGCAATCCAACTTTAGATAATAAATTTTTTTTCATTTCTGCTTAGACTTAAAAAGAGAAAATTTTTTAAAAATCAAATTGAATAGCCTTATTTGTAGTAGCCTTAAAAAGTCTTTACAGATGACTGAATTAGATATCTGTCAACTCATATGAT